GTCTTCTGCCCATTTCTTGATTGGATTCTTTGTTCTTTGGGTGTTGAGTTTGATGAGTTCTTTATAGATTTTGGATACTAGCCCTTTATCTGATACGTCATTTGCAAATATCTTCTCCCATTCTGTTGGTTGTGCTGTGACAAGAATATATAATCTATGTGCTGTTCCCCCTCTTCTGGACGTGTCCTTCTTCCTCCCCTCTCTGCAGGTCCTGGGTACCCGACTTCCCTCTCTCAATGAGAGAGCTCCTCTGGATTCTGTCTCAGGCTCCCTTTCTCTTGTAAACTCTCCCTCCTCTTAGGGAATTTCATCTCCTCCCACCACTGTAAATACCATCAGTATGCTGCCACCTCCCACATTTTGATCTCCAGCCCAGACCTTATATCTCCAGCAGCTGCCGGGATCCCACAGGATGCCTGGAACCCGGTGTGTTCCAACACGTTCACCATCTTCCCCTTGGAGAAGGGCTGCTTGGCCTGCTGGGCATGGAGTCAGACAGCCCCACAAACCAGCCACCACCAGGCTTGCCGGCCCTGCCCCCAGATCACCTCTCCGCCATCTGTTCCCTCACCCCAGACGATTGCGACCAGTCCCCCCAGAATCTTCTTGGCCCTTCCTGAGCCCGTGTTCACACGGTAGCCAGAGTGATGTGCGTTTAAACCTTGCAGTTAAAGTGCAAATCTGACTGTGCCATTTCCCTCCTTGAAACCCTTTCAACGGATTCCCTTGACTCGCAGGATGAAATATAAATCCACATCAGCCATCTTGGTCTCCCTGTTGGCTCTGCCCACCTCCCTGCAACCTTATCTTCCCCCGTGGTGCTCCCTCTGCCCAGGTCACTCCAGTGTTTCCTGTTCCTTGACCAGGCTGAGCACATTCTGCCTCAGCCCCTCAGCCCAGACTGCTTCCTGCTACCAGAACCATTCTTTCCTTCCCTCTGGGCCTGGACGAGGCCTCCTGTGGAGCTCAGCTTAACTTTCTGACCCTCAGAAAGGCTGTCCTTGGCTCCTCACAACCGGGTCCCCCATCCGGCTCTCTAGTATCCTGTGCTTTTTCCTCAGGGCTCTGCGTTTGTAACTCCTTCATTATTTATCGCTCATTGTTCTTACCTATTTTCCCCACTGCCTGAAAGTTCCACAGGGTCAGAAATTTGTCTACTTTACTCACCACTTGTTTTCTTTAGCACCAGGACAGAGCCTGGCATCTCAATGGATGCTCAAGAAACACTTGTCAGCTCAGCTTCGAGGTTGAATTCTCCATCACAGTACTGTGGTTAAGAGCTCGTGTGCTGAAGTCTGACAGTCCTGGGTTAGAATCCCAGCTGGGCCACTTACAAGCTGTGTGACTTTGGACAAGTCACTTCACCTCTGAGTCTCTGCTTCCTGCCTCATAAAATTATCATGAGGATTAAATAAAGATGTACATAAAATATTTAATGCTATGGCTGTCATATGGAAATCCTTCAGTGAATAACACTAGTTATCGTGTAAGTGTTTCTAATCAGAGCTAAATCACAAGCCCCAGATTGCTACCGTGGCTTCCTCCTCTTACCTCATATGGTGAAGCCGGGAGCAAAATCACATTTGCACATCCACTCAGACTCAGGGACTTTGGAAGCCAGCTGTGGGGGCAGCAACTCCAGCTTCGTCCCACTCTGCTGCTTGCTGGCTGTGTCTCTGCAGGCAGGTGGACTTCTCTGAACTCAGTGTGGTCCTCTGTAACGTGTGGCCAATGCATACCTCACGGGACAGTTCAGGCATCACGTGAGAATGCACGTAAGTACCCCGTGCTGAGAAATTGCTACATTAAAATTAGTCTTATTAGAAACTCAGGATGGCTAAAGATGGCCCTGTGTCTCCCACGGTGTTTCAGAACAGGCTTCCTCTTGACTTCCTGCCCTCCATCATCTCAGACTTGAGTTTGCAAGCTGGGTCTGCCTCCTCCCTGCTGCGTCATCTCCCTGAGTACCAGGTTCCTTCTCTCTAGAGCGGAGCCAGGACCCCTCTGATGGGGTTATTGTAAGGAGTAGATAAAGCAGTGAATCCGAAGCAAGGGTTCGCAGACGATGGATGGTCACCAGATCCGGGCCACTGCCTGATTCTGTCCAGTTCTATCGGATCACAGCCACACTCGTTCACTCATGCACCCTGTCTGGCTGCCTTAGTGTTGAATAGATGTCACGGAACCTATATGGCCAGGGCGTCTGGGTGGCTCAGTCCGTTGAGTGTCTGGCTCTTGGTTTTGGCTCAGGTCATGATCTCACGGTTGTGAGATCAAGCTCCACGCTGGGCTCTCTGCCTGGCATGGAGTCTGCTTTGGATTCTCTCTTCCTGTCCCTCCCCCTCTGCCCCTCTGCCTCCCCCTCTGCCCCTCTCCCCCCCCCTCTGCCCCTTTGCCTCCCCCTCTGCCCCTCTGCCTCTCTCCCTGCTTGTGGCTTGCGCATAAGCTCAGAGGTGCTCTCTCTCTCCCTCTCTCTAAAAATAAATAAATAAAATCTTAAAAAAAAAAAATAAAAGAACCTATATGGCCCACCAAGCCTAAATAAACTGTTTGCTCTCTGGCCCTTTATAGAAGTTTACTGACATCTCATTCAGTGCCTGCTTGTGGTAGGTGCTCAGGGACAATGGTTGCTCTCATCATCATCTTGTCTGTACCATTAATGCAGCAATCAGGTGGGACGGTGTTCTGTAAAGGTGAGGAAGAGGAGGCCCTGGGTGGGGGGGAGGGGCTGGCCAGAGTCACCCAGTGCAGCGCCATGCACACAGCAGGCCTTGGGATGTGGGATGACCTGTGTCAAAAAGACTCTTGGTCTGGTGAACTTTCCAGTACATCAAGGAATATTCTTTTTTTTTTTTTAAGATTTTATTTATTTATTTGAGAGAGAGAGAGAGAGAGTGTGCAGGTGGGGGGAGGGGCAGACAGAGAGGGAGAAGCAGACTCCCCGATGTGCAGGGACCCTGAGATCATGACTTGAGCCGAAGGCAGATTCTTAACCGACAGAGCCACCCAGGTGTCCCCAACAGGGAATAGTCTTTATTTATTTATTTTTTAAAGATTTATTTATTTATTTATTTATTTGACAGAGACAGAGCGAGAGAGGGAACACAAGCAGGGGGAGTGGGGGAGGGAGAAGCAGGCTTCCCTTTGAGCAGGGAGCCTGATGTGGGGCTCGATCCCAAGACCCCGGGATCATGACCTGAGCCGAAGACAGACGCTTAATGACTGAGCCACCCAGGCGCCCCAGGAATATTCTTTAAACATTAAATCTGTCAGGAAAATGTGTCAGGTGCCTATTGTTAGGGCTATCATGACTCCATGTAATGTCTTTGAATGAATTAGAAAATGTACCCATCCTTGAGGCACTTATTATAATGAATATACTGATTTTGTGAGACTGAGATGCTTTACTGCCAGGAAGTTGTAACATATATAAATCTATAGTGGATTCTCTATGAATGGGACCTCCCTCCTCTCAATTGTACAGTGCGCCACCTGCACAGCTGTCTACAGCAGCCTTGTCTGTCAAAGAATGGTGAACCGGCGCGAGTCCTGATTTTCACATATCTGTTGTGTACAAATGAGGCCCACTTCTTAGGGACCTCCCCCTGCATAGCTATGACTCTGCCCCTCATTTGTGCTTCCTCGACTTCCGTGGGCCCGGTAGGCCCTGAGCCTCCTCACCATCACCTTTGGGACCCCACAGGCAGAGATGGAGTTGGTCCAGCGTATTGGTGTCCCTGCCAGTAAGATCATCTACGCCAACCCCTGTAAGCAAATCGCACAGATCAAGTACGCTGCCAAGCATGGGGTCCAGCTGCTGAGCTTTGACAACGAGGCGGAGCTGGCCAAGGTGGTAAAGAGCCACCCCAGTGCCAAGTAAGCAGAGAACCACTCGTGGGGAGGGCTGTGCTGAGTGTGAGGGCAGAGGGGGAGGGAGGAGTGGCGCTGGAGCAGAGGACCCTGCCCTGGACCCGGCCACATTCCCAGGAGTCTGGGGCGGGCGCTCCTGGACTGGACCCAGCGAGCCAGGGCCTGATGAGGGCCAAGGCAGAGATTCTGGGGGTCAAAGTCACAGGCTGAGGGAGCAAGAGGAGGGTGGTCAGGAAAGCTGCATGGAGGACGTGGCCTTCAAGGTGGGCCTGAGGAGGGAGTGGAATTAGCAGAGCACATCAAAGCACAGAATGCGAGGAGGTCGGAAGTGGCTGGGGGCGTGTGAGGGATGAGCAGAAATTTGGTGTGGCCGGAACAGACCCTGTGCGAGGGGTGAGGGCAACCGTGATGGCTGGTGGGTCACGGTCCCAGGGCAGGGACCTGATGCACAGGGGCTTTGGTGGGGGTCAGGGCTGGACGTTTTGCTCTGGCTGAGGCTTTCATGCGATCGCCTGATGCCGTCGGGGGCTCCAGGGAGGGCCTCCTCGGGGTGATGGGGAGGCCGGGGCGGGCCACTCTGGTTCACCCAAAGCAGCTTCCATTTTGTTGGTTTTACGTGATATTGGGGTTCTCAATAAGACTGTGTTTAAAAAATGGTTCCCCTCATACAAGAAAAGTTGGAAAAGCCTGGCCGGTGTAGAGGCTGATTCGGAGGAAGTGGAGCTGCCGGGGAGAGCTGGTGAGGTCGGGACCAGGGCAGGGGCCGCGGGATGGGCCCAGAGACGTTTAGGGAATGGAAAGGACGGGCCTCGGAGGCTGACTGGCAGTGCAGGGACAGGAAGGGGTGAGGGCCCCGTGGGGTGGGCGGCTCTGAGTTTATACCCCTGTTCTCCGAGAGGACGTGGTTGGGGTCGGGGGGGTGGGGTCCACGCGGCAGAAGTGCGCTGTGTATCTCCTCAGGATGGTTCTGTGCATTGCTACCGATGAATCTCACTCCCTGAGCCCCCTGAGCTTCAAGTTTGGAGCGTCGCTGAAATCCTGCAGACACCTGCTGGAAAATGCCAAGAGGAGCCACGTGGAGGTGGTGGGGGTGAGGTGAGTGCCCGGAAGCCCCACCATCCCTGTCATTGGTGTCACTTCCCAGGAGTGAATCCATTCTCTATGAGACCTCCCTCAGGGCCTCCAAGGAAGGCCTGTCCTGGGCCTAGAATCCTGCCATTGGAGAGTTTCCTCTCTTTGGAAAGAAAGTGTGGAGTGTCCCATTGCCTCAACCCCATGGTTCCCCAGAAGATCTTGTCCCAGGAGGCCCCAGGAGGTACCTGGATTTGCAGGAGTTATACCAACTTATTATAGGCTACAGGTTGTGCAGTCACATCTTTGCTGCGCTTCTTTGCTCGCAGGGATAGGGACGAAGTCGTGATAATGACGTAAGAGTATAGCTTTCATTTATTCTGTGCTTAGGATATACCAGACACTGTGCTAAACGATTCAGGAACATTATCCCACAGCCTTGTGGGACCTTATCCCTACTTTATAGATGGGGAAATGAAAGCACAGCGCTGACTGAGGGGAACATACGGACCTGGCTGACTCGGGCCCTGCCCCTCATCCCAGAAGGCTTAGCCCCAGTGGCAGCATGAGGGGGTGGGAGGGACACCAAGTGCTAAGGGACCTCAGATCTAGTCTCTTGCCCACCCCTCACTTGCCCCGTGACCCTTGGCAATGCATTTACCCTCTGGGGCCCTCAGTCACTATATCTGCAGAATGGGCATGATGCCCATTGTGCCTGTCCAAGGCTGCTCCCGGCGGGGGCTGAGGCGGTGGCACCTGGGGCCCTGCATGTAAGCCGAGGGTCTTCCTCCCTTCCCAGTTTTCACGTCGGCAGCGGCTGTCCTGACCTTCATGCCTACACTCAGTCCATTGCAGACGCCCGGCTTGTGTTTGAAATCGGCGCTGAGCTGGGCCACGGGATGCACATCCTGGACCTTGGCGGTGGCTTCCCTGGATTGGAGGGGGCCAAAGTGAGATTCGAAGAGGTAACCCGGGGTCAGAAGTGTGGTCCTGGGCTCTGTGGGAGGTGGGGTGGGCATACCCGGCACTGTTGAGTGGGTCCCAGGCACGGCATGCTGTGCTTGATGCTTTACCCGGATCATCTTATTATTAGCCCCATGTTACAGCTGAGCAAACTGAGGCTCCTCGAGGTTATGTCACTTTCTGAGTCTACGGCAGAGCTGGCCACACATCCAACACTCTCTGACTCTAGTCCGTGCACATATTTGAAGCTTAACCAGGCCTATTTGCATAAGTCCTGAAACTCTCTGAGGGCCTGGCATGCTCTATTCTCCCTCAGGTGAGCTGATGAGAAATCAAACGGGAGGGCAGGGAAAGGAAAAGCCCACCTTCTGTCTGCTTCTTTCCATCTGAGATGAAATCAAGAAAAATGTGCCCCCGCAATCCCCATTCCAACCACTAGGGGCCGCCTCTCCCTAATAAGAGCCAAGTCCTGGGACATCCGCATCTCAGGACTGACCCTAAGAAAATAATCCCCCACAGATGCAATGAGTTAGCCCCAAAGATGAGCATCGTAGCAGTGTTCATAACAAAAACCCAGTGGACTTTCCTGGTCCGTCTAACACTTGGGAAGTGGTTAAATTATGGTACATTCATATGACTCCCATGTGAGATCATTCAGGGAAGTCTGTTGAGTAAAACAGGTTATAAAACATGTATAGCCTTATCATGTTTATAATAAAAAACAGTGTTTGTATAGAAAAAGAATTAAAGGAACTACTCCAAAAAGTTAACAGTGATTAACAATCTGGATGATAGAATTGCGGGTGATTTTGATTTTCATTCTTCTCTGTATTTTCTGTGAAAAATGTGTCATTTAACACATTGGTCATTTATGAAAGATCTACATCAGGGCTTCTGGAACCCGAGTACCAAGTATTATGTTAAGAACACCTCTTCCCATTGTGGGGGCATTGAGGAAGGTGATTTACACAAGCATAAGGGTCTTGACCCAGCTCCGTCTGCCTCCTACGTCAGGAAGCCTGACCAACTGTCTCTAGTCCCCAGTCTGGGGCCTTAGTAGCTGCCAAGTGCTTCTTTCTGAAATCAAAGAAGCTTTCAAGAAATAGACTTGCAGCTATAGCAAGTCCTCAGTATGTAAACCCCCCATTTCACACATGTCATTGTCCCCCATCCCTGTCCCACCAGATTGCTTCTGTGATCAACTCAGCCTTGGACCTGTACTTCCCGGAGGGCTGTGGCGTGGACATCCTTGCCAGGCTGGGGCGTTACTATGTGACTTCGGCCTTCACCTTGGCAGTCAGCATCATTGCCAAGAAGGAGGTTCTTCTGGACCAGCCTGGAAGGGAGGGTAGGTGCCAGGTGGGCAGCAGAGCCCCGTTTTTTCCTGAAGCTAGGGACAGTGGCTGGCTGAGCAAGGTCTGGTTTTAGGGGATGGGAATCTGGAGGATGGATCCTTTCTTTAGGGAAACTTACAACCAAGTCCCCTTACCCCCAAGACACTTATTTAGTGTTAGTTTTTCCTGTGCATGTTTACATTTTATGAAGATTGAGATCAAAACAACCTTAGGGAGAACAGATACTTTATTAACCCATTGTACAGATGAGAAAATTGAGAGCCAAAGAGAATACAAGTGAATTGCTTAATAGTAAAAAGTACAGCCTGCATTTGACCCCATGTCTGTCTCCTCTCCAAAGTATAGGCTCTTACTCATCCTACTGCTGCTCATAACATAATGAAAATAATTAATGACAACTTATATTTGTCTAAGCCTACTTTATAGATGACAGAACATAGTTGAGTCACTAGCCCAAAGTCACATAGCTGGTGAGGGGCAATGCCTGGATTCAAGCTCAGGCCGGGCTCACTCAGGGTTCTCTGCCCACATTGCAACATCAGCACTCATCCCTGCCCTTCCAGAGAGATCAGTCCTTCCAGCAGCCCCTTGAGTGAGTGGGGTCTGGGGCTCTGATCTTGGAGCCTTCTGCTCCAGGGTCCCAGGCAGGAGAGCTGAGGTGTGTCTTCCCCTGAGAATCCATTTGGAGGGGTGGTGGGCTCCAGGTAGAATGTCTTCTGTGTGTGTGTGTGTGTGTGTGTGTGTGTGTGTGTGTGTGTGTGTGGGTAGAGATGACATTCTTCTGGCTTCCTTTATAAATCTGGGTAATTACCGTATTAGTCCAGCCGGGAGACCTGGTTTCTCATTTCAGCTCATGCATTGCCCCGTGAGGGGGCTGTGAGGGGGGTTTACATACTGAGGACTTGCTATAGTTGCAAGTCTGAGCGAGCGGCTTAACCTCTTGGGGTATCGAGTTTGGGTGGGCTGCTCTTTGGCCTTTGCTGGGGCATCCAGGGGCTCAGATGCAGGTAGGAAGTATGTCCTGTGCAGGGGTGCTCACCTGCAGGGGTGAGTGCACCACATGAACCTCATGTTATAGGAGGCAGCAGGACCCACCCCATAGCTGAGGAAGGGGCAGCCTTTTTGCTTCAGTTACCCATCATCCTTGCTGAGCCTCCCATTGTGCCAGCACCCCGCTCCCACCCCCTCACACTGCTGCTTGTGCTGCCCCTGACCCCTCCCTTCCCCACAGAGGAAAATGGTTCCACCCCCAAGACCATCGTGTACCACCTCGGTGAGGGCGTGTATGGAATCTTCAACTCAGTCCTGTTTGACAACACGTGCCCTACCCCCATCCTGCAGAAGGTGAGCCTACCCCACGTGGGCCTCTTTTCAATCGTGTGTGTGTGTATGTGTGTGTGTTTAAATAACATTCTGGGGGTGTTTTTATCTCATTTTAAACAAGTAAAACGTATTCATTGTAGAAAATGGCGGGATGATGAAGATCACCCGTAATCCCACCATGTAGAGATAGACCCTTTGAACATTAGATTTCTTTTTAGTCTTTAAAAAAATGTATTCTATTTTTAAAAATAAAGTTGGATTGTATTGTTTTGTAACTGCTTTTTTCCACTCAGTATGGGTATAGCTCTTTCTATGCCGTCAGCTAACCTTTGACAACATGCTTTTTGAAGACTACATAGTATTTTAATCCATCTAACCTAGTAGTTGGTTTGCTATTTTCAAGCGTTGTGAGTATATCTATCTTGACGTCCAGGTCTGATCAAGCCCTGGAGTGAATTTCTAGAAGCAAAAAGAAACAGTTCATCTTTAATGGGTTTTTCCAGGGTGACAAGGGAACAGGAATGGACAAAGAGGGGAAAGAAAATCAGACACACCATTGTAGTTTCGCATCTCCAGGCCTTTGTTGTGTGGCCCCTTTTCTGGAAGGGAACTTCAGTGCCTAACGGGCACCCAGATCATCATGAGCTCTCAGTGTGTTTTTGTTTTTCTCTCTTTTTCCACCCTGTCTAGTTTTTTAAGACCCACTCAAATGTCAGCTCCTCTTTGTAGCTCTTCCTGCCCCTTATCTATCACAGGCAGAGGGAGCCCCCCCCCCCCCCCACCTGCCCATGCCATGACTTGATTATGTCCTTGTTCCATAGCTGGGTTGTTCAATGTGGTTTCCTCCAGCTAGTCTGAGTAAGCCTCCCTGATGTGCTCAGAAATTCAGTTTTCCACCGTGATGCATCGGTCCTGCCTGCATTCTTGTGGTTTCCCACATCCGACCGCACTGAGAAAGGACCAGGTTGGCCTAGGCCAGCCGAGCCCCAGGTCACACAGCAGGCGGCAGCTGCTTCCCAGGTCCTGTCCCCCTCCAGACCCCCTCCACCTTCCAGTGCCCCTTTTCCTGTCACATGCCGTCCCTGACCCACTCCGCATTCCCTTCATCAGCAACTCAGATGAGCAGGACTGTGGGCCCAGCTCATTACCACACCCCCCATTCAGGGTCTCCATTTTGATTAATCTCCAGTTGGTATTCCTGCCTTGGACACCAGGATGTTACTGACCCTCTTTGTGATCAGTCCTGTTCCTCCTCTGGACGCTTTTGAAGTTTCATACTTTGGGCTGTCAGCCACTTACCAGGTCCAGCCATGTGACCAGATCCAGGGTGGGGCCCCTGTCTGGTGGTGGAGGCAGTTGACGACACACACAGTAAATTAGCTGCAGTTGTGTTGGGTGTGTGTTAGAGGGACCCAGCCTGGCTGGGGGTATCTGCATCTTCTTCCCCAAGGAAGGTCCCCTTCACGAGTCATGGTGGCAGCTTTGCATCCCTGCTCTTCGTTCCCCAGGACTTTGTGTTTGGACCTCAGGCACAGAAAGTCCCATTAAACATAATCAATCCTTGGGCGCCTGGGTGGCTCAGTTGGTTAAGCGACTGCCTTCGGCTCAGGTCATGATCCTGGAGTCCCGGGATCGAGTCCTGCATCGGGGTCCCTGCTCGGCAGGGAGTCTGCTTCTCCCTCTGACCCTCCTCCCTCTCATGTTTTCTGTGTCTCTTTTTCTCTCTGTCTCAAATAAATAAATAAAATCTTTAAAAAAAAAAAAACAAAACATAATCAATCCTTGGTTCAAAGTATACTTCTTATCGCTGGAGCCTTCCTGGCTCTTTTTTGTTTTCTTTCTTTCTTTTTAAAAATTTAATAAACATTTGAGTACTCTCAGTATGCAAAGCCCTATCCTGAGGCCTGCACAGGACAGTAGGTGAGACAGAATTGTCTACGCTCTGGAAATGTAGTCCTGCTGGGTAGGGGTGTGTGTGTGTGTGTGTGTGTGTGTGTGTGTGCGCATGTGCATGTGGTGAGCAGTACGCAGGCTACAACAGTGTCATGAAAAAAGCACAGAAAACTACAGAAGTGTTGCTGGAATTTTTTCAAAAATATTTTAATATATTTAAAAGGAAAGGACTTGAGAAAAATAATACCATTATCAAATTAAAAATGAACAATTCCATAGTATCCCCCGTCATCCTCCTCATCAATGGTTTTTCTAGTTGATTTGCTGAAATCAGCAGCCAAAAAAGGTCCACATACTGCATTTGGTCGATTGTCTCTCTCTTAACCTATTGGTTTCCCCAAACTCACTCTTTTTTTTTTTTTTCATTATTTGTTGATGAAACTGAGTTGTTGGTCCTGAAGTTTCCTGCATTCTGGATATTCCTGATTGGTGGATTCCCTGGATTTCCCTTCGGTGTTATCAAATATATTATTCCATGCCCTGTATTTCTTTGAAACTAGATAGTTAGATTTCATGGTTTCAGTAGATTCCTAATCAGTTTTGGGGTAAAAAAGTTTCATGGGAGGACTTGTCTTTGTTTTTTTTTTTAGTAAAATAAGCATTCTTGTCATTTTACCGCCTCATTCCTTTGTCTCTTCCCATGCAAAGTACCCACGATTTAGACTCATCTGTTACCATTTTTTTCATATAGGTTTTTTCTTTTTTTTTAAATATAGGTTTTTTTTTTTTTCTATTGCGGTAAGAATACTTAACATTAAGATCTACTCTTGTAACAGATGGTTAAGTGTATGATCCTGTATTAGCTACAGGCTGTGCTATAGCAGATCTCTAGAACTTGTTCATCTTGTAGAGTGGAAACTTTATGTCCTTTGATTATCAACTTCCCATTTCCCCCTCCCATCAACCCCTGACAGCCATACTTCTATTCTTTGTTCCATGAGTTTGACTATTAGATACCTCATATAAATGCAAGCATGCAGTGTGTGTCCTTCTGTGACTAGCTCATTTCAGTTAGCATAATGTCCTCAACATTCATTCATGCTGCTGCATATTGCAGGATTTCCTTCTTTGATAAGGCTGATCATGTTCCATTATACGGATATGCTGCATTTTTTTAATCCATTCATCCATCCATGGACATTTAGGTCTTGGCAGCTGTTAATAGTGCTGCGATGAACATGGGAGTGCTTATCCCTCTTAGAGATCTTGATTTCAATTCTTTTGGGGGAATACCCAGAAGTAGAATTGCTGGATCACACTGAATTTTTTGAGGAAGCACCATCCTGTTTTCCACAGCGTCCGCATCATGCTGCATTCCCTCCGGCAGCATACCGGGGTTCCAGTTTCTCCACGACTTTGTCAACACTGGTCGTCTTTTGTTTTTTTTTGCTAACAGCCATCCTAACAGGTGTGAGGTGACATTTCACTGTGGTTTTGACTTGTATTTCTTTTATGATTAATGATGTTGAGCCTCGGGGCGCCTGGGTGGCTCAGTCAGTTAAGCGACTGCCTTCGGCTCAGGTCA